CGGGTCATCCAACTCAAGCCTTGGTCACCGTACACGACGCCTGCAACAACCTTGCCTCCGTCGCCCGATACTTCACTGGCATCACCGACATTGCGGCCACCAAACTCCTCTCCTTCTACCGACAACAATATTCCATCCCCACCACATCGCGATCCACCAAATGTACCCTCACCGCACTTCGACTCCATCTCCTCACCAACACCCATAGATGACCCATCGTCTGTGCCTTCACCACCAAGAAACATCCACCCTATGACCACAAGAGCCAAAAACCATATCACCAAACCGGCTGCAAAACTAACCCTTACCACTACCCTATCTCCTAGCCTTGACATAGAACCCACATGTGTCTCGCAAGCCCTCAAAGACCCACGATGGAGACAAGCCATGGACGACGAGTTTAATGCTTTACTTCGGAATGGAACTTGGACACTCGTTCCTCCCGATTCCTCTTACAACTTGGTAGGTTGCAAATGGGTTTTTCGGACTAAAAGAAACTCGGATGGTTCTATTGACAGGCATAAAGCAAGGCTCGTGGCTAAAGGGTTTCATCAACGTCCCGGTCTCAATTATACCGAAACGTTCAGTCCCGTGATCAAACCGGCAACCATTCGGGTCATTCTAAGCATTGCGGTGTCTAAAGGTTGGGATCTTCGGCAAATCGACGTCAATAATGCATTTTTACAAGGGACGTTGCATGAGGATGTCTTTATGATCCAACCCCCCGGATTTGTGGACCGTGATCGACCGTCATACGTATGCAAGCTTCGTAAGGCCCTCTACGGACTTAAACAAGCTCCAAGAGCTTGGTACAATGAGCTCCAGCAATTTCTCCTCATGTCCGGGTTTGTCAACTCCTTATCCGACTCATCATTGTTTATATTCCGACACAACGATGTCCAAATATTCTTGCTAGTTTATGTTGATGATATTATCATCACCGGGAGCCATTCACGAGAAGTACAGCAGTTCATTGATGCACTAGCTCGACGATTCTCTCTAAAGGACCTTGGCACACTCAACTTCTTTCTCGGGATCGAGGTTCAACGTAACACACAAGGCATTCATCTCACACAGCAACGATATGTTGGAGATCTTCTTGCACGACATCAGATGACAGCCGCCAAGCCTGTTCCGACACCTCTAGCCTCGACCACCGTCATTTCTGCAAAATCAAGTTTCGAGCTCATCAACCCGGAAGAGTATCGGCAAGCACTAGGAGGACTTCAATATTTACTTCTTACAAGGCCGGATATAGCATATGCAGTCAACAAACTATCACAATATATGCACCGTCCAACCGAGGATCATTGGAAAGCCGTGAAGCGAATCTTTCGATACATTGCCGGCACAAAGAACTTTGGAATTCAGCTGCATCACTCTTCTCCGACGACTCTCCATGCCTTCTCCGATGCAGATTGGGGGGGTGACAAAGATGATTTCAGTTATACCGGGGCCTACATCGTTTACTTAGGTTGCAATCCCGTATCTTGGAGCTCAAAGAAGCAACGTTTCGCTGCCAAATCATCAACGGAAGCTGAATACAAGTCAGTCTCTACAACCGCGTCGGAGATTCAATGGCTTACATCCTTACTTTCGGAGCTCGGACTTCCTATGTCATCACCACCAGCAATCTATTGTGATAACGTTGGGGCCACATATCTTGCTGCCAATCCGGTATTCCACTCGAGGATGAAACACATTGCGATCGACTATCACTTTATCCGTGGCCTTGTCCAAGCGAACCAGCTTCGTGTTGCGCATGTATCATCCTCGGATCAATTAGCAGATGGACTTACAAAGGCACTACCGCGGACTCGTTTTGAACTTCTTCGACTCAAGATTGGCGTCTCACCCGACACCAAACTTGTGGGGGCGTAAAGGAAAGTAATACGTTAGTGCGTCAAATCTCTTCTAATTGATTGCAATCTTATATAATCTTATATAATTGATTTTCTCTTGATTGTATCTCCTTAGATATAGCAACATCCTCATGTATATATTTTGGTATTGCACAAGTGAATAAACGTGAGATTACATTATTCCTTTCATGATATGTATATGTACGTGTTGTCCAATTATTCAAATGTGTTGTCCAATTTGTCGTACAGCTAACAAAGAAGAAAGGTCGTTCAATGGTCACGAGAAGAGAAGCAACTTTGACTCGAGACGGAAATTTTTATCAATGTATTATCGGGGATTAAAAAAACCAACCCAAACCAAACATGGACAGTTCAACCGACGAAACATAGATTTATGAGTAACTCAACTATCATTTTATATTATCTTAGATCGTATAGTCTCATACACATATATGTCATCGGATCTCTCATTTCGGTGCGTTCGATTTATTTCTATATCTTTTTTGCTTTAACGGTATTCGGGGAACTGCTCTTTTTGATCGTACCATCTGTAAAGAGAACATTCCTAACCATCATTATACCTTGAACGGTCATGTTTTTTTTAATTGTTAGAGATGTCGACCATTTCCATAACGTTTTCAAATCACACTTTTAATAAATCATATCTCTTCATAGACTTAAATTAATTAAAAAACATAACCTTATGGGAACCTGAAATTATGGTATGAAAAATATATTTTGAATACCGTGGTTTACTCTGACCATTCTTTTTTACCCTTAAATCTTCCGATTTGGGTTTTTTTTTCTTATTTATTTTTATTGTAAAAAGTTTATAGCACACACTTTGATTTCTTACCCAAAAAAAACCATTCAGGTTTGAATATGACATGATAATTTTAGGATTTAGGATTATCAAATGTAAAAGTATCATCATCTTCTTCTTCTTGTGGATGTTTTTATTCTTATTATTATTATTATTATTTTGAGAATGTTTTAAATAAAGTCAGAGAAAAACATGTCATTAAAAATTAGTCAATATTTTGTCTAAAACAGGTTTGACCGTTTTCATTTTATTGAGATAGATTTAAATTTTATCGGGTTTGGGCTGAATCTACGCTGCCCACTAACTACAGTCACGTCCTCTCCTTCCTCGCTGCTTCCTCACCCGATCTCTCGCTCTCGCTCCTCTTTCCGCTCACTTCACGCTCTCCGAGATCTCCCCTCCCCGGAGGTAGTGATCGATTGATTCTGAAGTTGGGGGTGCTGGAGATGGCCGTGTTGAGCCTCTGCTAGGGATTAGGTTGAATCCTACACCATGTTTAAGAACAAGCTCTTCTTCTCGAAGAAATCGGGATCTTCCAGCCCCGACGGTTCTAATAGTCCCCGATCTTCGGGCTCCAACTCTCCTGTCCGATCCGACAAGAAGAAGCCTAAATCTGCTTCCAAAGAGGATTCTCGGGTCCCTAATTCGACCTCTCCTTCTGCCTTCGCCGGAGTTGGTTGTAAGCAGACTCATGTTAAGGATGGATTGAAGAAGAAGGAAGCTTCATCCAAGGGCAAAGAGGTTCCATCCGAACCTCAAGCTCACTCTCCCGGTAAGTCGAACTTGTCGTCTGCTTCCGATGGGAAGAAACCGACGGTGGGACCGCCACCTCCGGAGGCGAAGGAAGGACCGGCATCCGTTTCGCCGATCCTGGCGTCGTCTCTGGGTCTGAACCGGATCAAGACTAGATCCGGGCCGTTGCCACAGGAAAGGTTTTTCAGTTTTAGGACCGATCGAGCAACACCAGCCGTACCGGCTGCGAGCAACTTGTCGAAGATGGGCACTGACGGAAACTCTGGTTCGGGCTCTTCGACGTCGGGTTCGGGTAGTGGGAGTAAGGAAGAGGGAAGTAAGAAGCTGGGGTTCCAGGAGAATATGGGCAGCGCCCGAACGAGTGATCGCGATAGTATGTCTCCCGATTCTGGAAAGCTGAAGAACCAGAGCCCCGGAATTGCAGCGGCAGGATCTCGGTTGCAGAATGCGGGATCCTCATCAGGAACTGGTATGCTCTTTGGCTTTGATTATAGGCTGAATTGAATTAGAATCGAGAAATCCTTACTAGAGCTCCCTCATTCAACTTTGCTCTAGCTGATACCAGATAAACAATGGGCTCTGCAATATCTCTCTTCTATTGAGCATATGCATAATCCATAATCTTGCTGTTATCGGATTTAAATTTTCCTCTGATCCTTTATTTGCTGGGAACTAAGCTAAACACTGATAACATACCGTGATGCTATTTCCTAGCTGGTCTTGGCGCTCACCAGTAATGTAGTTTGTAACATGAATAGATGTGCTGGGTTTTGACTGTGTGTTTTGTCTTCCTGTTCTGATTATTGTTTTTTTTTTTCTCTCACCCTGCTCTGGTTACTGATTTAAATGGTCACATTTTATACTGCATCTACAACTTTTGTGTTACCTGTTGGCTTTTCAATTCTTATCTCTGAAGTTTGTTTTTGATTCTATATAGTAGTGCGATCCGAGGTATCTTCTGGACGTTCTGGTCCTCTAAGAAGTTCAGAATTGTGTACCCCAGAGGTACTGCTGGATAAATTATTCTATCCTCTTTCACTTTTTAAGTATCTTGTATTATGTATATTAGTTTTTAATGATCTAGGCGATTTGATGTTTAACTTTCTAGAATTCATATGACTGGGAAAATCCAAAGGAGTCTGAATCTCCTCGCTATCAAGCTTTACTCCGCATAACCAGTGCTCCGAGAAAGAGGTTTCCTGGTGATATAAAAAGCTTTTCCCATGAGTTGAACTCAAAAGGTGTACGCCCTTTTCCATTGTGGAAGCCTCGCAGGTTGAATAACGTGGAGGTATTCTGGACTCTTCTGCCTATGTGTTCATTTGGTGTGCATTTTTTGTTGATTGCATTCTCTAACTATCTGTCTCTCTCAGGAAATATTGGTTCTGATTCGAACAAAATTTGATAAAGCAAAGGAAGAAGTGAACTCTGATCTTGCGATATTTGCTGCGGATCTGGTGGGAATTCTTGAGAAAAATGCAGAAAGTCATCCCGAGTGGCAGGAAACGATAGAAGACTTGTTGATTTTGGCTCGGAGTTGTGCTATGACAACTCCTGGAGAGTTCTGGCTTCAGTGTGAAGGCATAGTTCAGGAGTTAGACGATAGACGTCAAGAGCTTCCCCCTGGTGTGCTCAAGCAGCTTCATACTCGGATGCTCTTTATCCTTACCAGATGTACTAGATTACTGCAGTTCCATAAGGAAAGTTGGGGTGAAGAGGAACGGGTCATCCAACTGCGTGAGTCAAGAGTCTTGCATTCTGCTGATAAAAGAGTCCCTTCTGGAGCGATCAGGGATGGGAGAAGTTCAAGTGCTGCAAGGGTTCAAAGAGTACCATCGAGCAAGAAATCTCATAGTCAGGAGCAGCGTGGTTTGGACTGGAAGGAGGACCTAGCTGTTCATCCTATTCCTCGTCTCTCTTCTCCAGACAATGATGCTTCGAAGGAATCTGAATCTCCTGCTAGCATGGACCGGATGTCTTCCTGGAAAAAACTCCCATCTCCAGCAACCAAGTCTGCCAAAGAAGCTACTGCACCAAAAGAGCAGAATGATATCAAAGGTGAACCTTCACTCATGGTTAGAAGGAGAGGAATTACTGATGATGACATGGCTGTTGTTAAGCCACCAGAGGGTCCTCCAGCAAAAGAATCACATGAAGTTTCGTCTAAGCATCGGCACAATATTTCTTGGGGTTACTGGGGGGATCAGCCAAGTATTTCTGAGGAAAGTTCAATTATATGCCGTATCTGTGAGGAGGAAGTTCCAACCACCCATGTGGAGGATCATTCTAGAATCTGTACACTGGCTGATAGATATGATCAAAAAGGAATGAGTGTTGATGAGCGATTGGTTTCAATTGCTGTAACTCTTGAGAAGATAGCAGAAACCTTTGCACAGAAGGATAGCCTGCCGACGGCAGATAGTCCAGATGGTATGAAAGTTTCCAATTCGAGCATGACTGAAGAATCCGATGTTCTCTCCCCAAAGCTGAGTGATTGGTCGCGAAGAGGGTCAGAGGACATGCTTGACTGTTTCCCCGAGGCTGATAATTCAGTTTTCATGGACGATATGAGAGGTTTACCTTCTATGTCATGTAAAACACGTTTTGGTCCCAAGTCTGATCAAGGCATGACAACTTCATCCGCTGGAAGCATGACTCCTAGATCTCCTATTCCGACCCCTAGACCTGATCCTATTGAACTGTTATTAGGTGGCAAGGGTACGTTCCATGAGCATTATGATATTCCACAGGTATGCGTTGGTTTCTTTAATGTCCACATCTTTTCTCAGTCTTTTTATAATTTGGACGATGATGAAACTTTGGACAACTGATGTTGCAGATGAATGAACTTGCTGATATTGCAAAATGTGCAGCAAATGCACCTCCTGATGACGAGCAATCCATTCCTTACCTACTTTCTTGTCTTGAGGACTTGAGGGTTGTCATAGACCGCCGGAAGTTTGATGCACTTGTGGTAGAAACTTTCGGGACTCGCATTGAAAAGTTGATCCGGTGTGTATGTAAATGTTATTTTCATATGATATATCTTATTGGATTTTGAATGTGGTCTCGTTGCCTTCAAGTAGAGGTTCTGGGAAATTTATTCTGATTTTCGGAAATATACCTGTGCCAGGGGAGGTATGAGTCATCTTGTTAACATGAGTACAATTTTCCTTATTCTGCAGGGAGAAGTATCTGCAGATGTGTGAGCTTGTAGATGATGAAAAAGTTGACCTATCAAGCACGGTAATTGATGAAGATGCTCCTTTAGAAGATGATGTTGTTCGCAGCTTGAGGACGAGTCCAGTACATACTAAGGACCGCACCTCCATAGATGATTTTGAGATCATAAAACCAATTAGTAGGGGAGCTTTTGGTCGAGTTTTCCTGGCTAAAAAGAGAACAACTGGGGACCTATTTGCAATCAAGGTAGACGTCTGAGTGCTTTTGTTCTTTCGCAGGTCGTTTTCTCCTGTTACTGCTGCGTTTGCGTAGCTGCTGAACTTGATTGGCAAAATCTTTCCTAGATTGTGTTTAATTAGTGGTCTTGGGTTTGTGGCATACTTCACAGGTTCTGAAGAAGGCAGATATGATCCGCAAGAATGCTGTTGAAAGTATACTTGCTGAACGTGATATTTTAATTAATGTCCGCAATCCTTTTGTGGTGAGCAGGTCTTGCTGTTTAAATATATTTCATTCTCTTGAGAAATTTGTTTCTGATTCTAACATATCTATGTTTTGATCAGGTCCGTTTCTTCTATTCATTCACGTGCCGCGAGAACTTGTATCTTGTGATGGAGTATCTGAATGGAGGAGATTTATATTCATTGTTGAGAAATTTGGGTTGCTTAGATGAAGATGTTGCCCGTGTATACATGGCCGAAGTTGTAAGTTCTTCATATGTATTTTGTAAATGGATCACGACATAAAAGCACTACAATTTTGGTAAAGCTTCATGATTTCTTTATTGCTTCTCATGTCAGGTTCTTGCTCTGGAATATTTGCATTCTGAGGGTGTTGTTCACCGTGATTTGAAGCCTGACAATTTGTTGATTGCACATGATGGTCATATCAAGGTAGTTGTCCTTTTGTTAGAGTCTCTGATTGGATTCCCATTCTTTTATAAACTTTGTTGTGAAGCTTGAGACACTAGCATTTTCTTTCCAGAAGCTTGTAAAAGCCACCAGTTACCTTTACACATATTAATGAGTCATGACAGACTGGATTTCATGAGAGGGATAAGTTTTGAGAATCATGTTTTCCTATTGATCTGATGGTATCTTGTGTTTCATCCGAGCAGTTGACAGATTTTGGGCTCTCAAAAGTTGGTCTCATCAACAACACCTATGATCTTTCTGGTCCAGCCGTGAGTGGGACATCTCTGCTTGGTGAGGAGGAGCCAGAGTTACCGACATCCGAGCATCAACTTGAGAGGCGCAAGAAACGGTCTGCTGTGGGTACACCTGACTACTTGGCGCCAGAAATTCTTCTGGGGACAGGACATGGTGCATACACTGCTCTTTTGTTCTTAGTATTCCCGTGTCTTCTCTTCTAGATTGTTACAGTATTACTGAGTTGAGATTAGTTATCTAGAAAGAAGATTTGGTAGTACAAACTTTTAGTTTAATGATCAGGCTCGGGTCCTCACCCAGCCAGTACCATGTCAGTGAAATTCCTACTAGATATGTTTTTTTACATTCCAAAACTGTAAAGATTCATATAACTGCTTAATCGCTCAGGTGCAACTGCGGATTGGTGGTCTGTCGGTATAATTCTGTTTGAACTCATTGTGGGCATTCCGCCATTTAACGCAGAGCATCCTCAGGTCAGTGATTATGTTGGTTCCAGAAAATGGGTTTTGTAGAAGAGTAGACGTTTTGATCTCCATGATTATGTTTGTTTTGTAGTGGTTTGTTTCTTTGGGTTGACATTATCTGTAACCTTGCCATCTGATGGGGTTCTATTGGTACAGAAAGTACTGAGCATCTAGTCTCAATTTCTGGCTTCCTGATATTTTACCTGCAATTTTTTTGTTGGTTTTAGCAAATATTTGACAATATTCTCAACCGTAAGATACCATGGCCCCGTGTACCAGAAGAAATGAGCCATGAAACTCAAGATTTGATAGACCGGTAAGAGACTTTTTCAGTTCTCTTTTATAATCAGCTTAGCAATACATTTCTTTGTCAAAATCATCACTGGATCTGTAAGAAACATCAATGAGAAACTCTTTTTCACTCGTGTTTTGGTTGATTTATGAACCATATCAACCGTTAGGGTCTAAGTGAGATGCCCTCTCTGACAATATTCAGTTTGGATTGTCCTTAATAGCCAAATACAAAACCAAACTTTATACCACTAAGGGGCAAAAACCGTATCATTGTATGCATAATTGTAACATGTCTAGTCTATGTGTCTTTTCCAGGTTACTAACGGAAGATCCTCATCAGAGACTTGGAGCTAGAGGGGCAACTGAGGTAACATTGGTTGTTTCATATTTTTGATAATGGGTCCGATTTATTTCCAATTGTTGCATAGCAATGGAATAAATTTCATGCCTGCAGGTCAAGCAGCACATCTTCTTTAAAGACATAAACTGGGACACATTAGCAAGGCAGAAGGTTTTATTCATTTATTCTCTGCTCTAAAGACATTAGTTAGTCTTGCAGAATACTATTCTCACGCGCTTTAACATTCATTCTGTAGGCTGCTTTTGTGCCAGCTTCGGAAAGTGCTTTTGACACAAGTTACTTCAGAAGTCGCTACTCATGGAACCCTTCAGATCAGCAATTTTTTCCGACCAGTGAGGTCGAAGATTCCAGTGATGCTGACAGCTTGAGTGGCAGCAGTGGTTGCTTAAGTAATCGTCATGAAGAAGTGGTAATTTCTGCATCAACCTATGAATCCTTAGAAATGTTCACAGGCAACACTGTTAATGAATTTGGAAAATTCCACGAATTGGGTCAATGGTGGTATGCAGGGGGGTGAATGCGGAGGACTTTCAGAGTTTGAATCTGCAGCATCTGTCAATTACTCCTTCAGTAATTTCTCGTTTAAGGTACTACTATCTCCTTACTTGCCTGTTAAGAAACCATATTCGCGGGATGAGAGTGTTTGGCGGCTTGTACAGTCTGGTTTAGGTTTGAGCTACATTTATGCGTTTGTGGCAAATTATGATTTAGTATAAGTTGTGTTCTTATTAAAATGGTCACATAGTGGAAGGAATGACCTGAAAGGTGTGAGGGGGCTGTCGTAGACATTGAAGTTGGAAGTTGGAAGCTGGGTGGTGTATTTGTCAAGTATAGAATTTGTTGAAAGGTTATACATTGTCGGGTTCTGTCCACTACAAACCAGAATTTAGGGTTGGATTCTACATATGATTTTTGGACCAAAATTGTGGTCTAGTACAAGCTAAATGATTCTTATTGTATGGTGCGTGAAAGCCACAGTTGCCATGGATAAGTCTTAGTGGGTTATTTACTCAAAAGTGGTGGATATTAGAGCTAGAAGCGTGTGGTGTAGGATCTTGCATCTAACAAATAGAGAATCGGTTGGCAGCTTTTAAACTTCTTGTTTTGCTTCCATATGATAAGTCAGAAGCTGGCTTGTGTTCTTTGTGGGAGAAATGATTCTCGTCTTTGGTGGGTTCAAACCGTTGCCATATGATACACCTGTCTTTTCATGTTGAGTGTTGATTCGTAATTAAGAGCAGCATCACGTGGTGCTCTGAATGATTTTCTTCCTTTATGATTTGCAGAATCTCTCACAGTTGGCGTCAATCAACTATGATCTTCTTTCCAAAGGCTGGAAAGATGAACAAGAATCAAACTCACAACAACAATAACGTACCGGAGAATTGATCTTATTATTCTCTGTGGGATCTGCTTTTTCACATTTCTGGAGTGTTTGGTGCGCATGTGTGGCCATGCAATGGGCACTCATCGTTACCAGCGGCATTTGTATACACTCTCTGTACATGTAAGTCGTTCTATTCTTCACTCTAGGTCTATATCTCCCATCTTTTCTTGTGTTAATTTTGGAAAGAACCTCAGGGCAAAGTGTTTTTTTTTCCTTCCTGAAATCTAATAGGTAAGAAAAAGAGGTTTTTCTGAGTGTGAAAACTGGTAAAAAGATGGGGCAGGAATAATGGGAATGGACATATGTTTCTGATTGTGGGGTTGGTATCTGCAGAGACAAGAGGAGGAGGAGCTGGGGAGAGCGGAACATTGGGTGAGAGAGAGAGAGAGAGAGAGAGAGAGGTAAAACCAAATGTTAATTGTTGTTGTTGTTGTTGTTGTTTGATATGGGGAAGGGTAGAAGAGTAG